AATCATTTATCCTTCACAGAATATGTTTGAATAGAAAAGAATGTTCTTGAACATGTTTGAATAGAAATGAGCATTCTTGTCGTGGAACATGTTTAGGAATGTTCTTGTCGTAGAACATGTTTGAATAGCAAGGAATGTTCTTGTTGTGGAACATGTTTGAAAAGAAATGAGTATTCTTGTCGTATAACATGTTTGAATAGAAAGGAATGTTCTTGCCTTAGAATATGTTTGAATAGAAAGGAGTATTTTTGTCGTAGAACATGTTTAGGAATGTTCTTGTCGTAGAACATGTTTGAATAGAAAAGAATGTTCTTGTTGTGGAACACAATTGATGGGAAAGTAATGTTCTTGTTGTGAAACATAATTGATGGGAAAATAATGTTTTGTCTTAGAACATGTTTGAATAGAAATTTAACTATGGTCCAGTATGATGAAATTCTGTATATTTTGAATAATCTTAGTTTTGACTACCTAAGTAATCACCGATTACTATGTGAGAAATACAGTATTTTTAGAAAAGATGAGTGCATACATTTTACAGGTTAAACGCAGCATTAATAACATGTAAGGCTAAGCAGAGGTAAGTAAAAATACATGTATATAATTTCAAGTTACTAATATTTGTGTAGCGTAGATCGGTTCAAGCACTTCAATAAGGAGTTATCGTAACTAAACCTTAATATAAAAAGTATAAAAGATGGCATTTAAATTTAAACCGTTTCGATTGAGAAAACACCACTGTATTAATCACATGTACATATTAGTATTCAGTTCCTCTCATAAAACATTCAAGACATTACAATGACTCCTAATCCTGATCAGTCTTCTTTGCCAATCATAGAGTATCGGGCATTAAATGGTTTTAAAATATGATGTTTCTATTCTACATAGACACTTCGCCACTGTGCAAAGAGGCATGTTCTTACTTAGGAGACTCATTGTTTTGATCTAAGATAAGAATATAAACGTTGGAAGGTGGGATGAAACCAAAATGAATTTTTCAGATGGAATCTTATAGACAAACAACATTGATCAGTTATAAAAGCTACAAATAGTTATTTGAAAAACAAAACGATTTTATTTAGTATCGACAAACACTCTAAGCAACCCACCCTGGTGTCGTGTTTTACATAAGTTTTTCTTCATGTATTTTTTAGGATCTTGGGTCAGGGATTATCATCATTCCACTGTTGTCTCTTCTTGAAGCTATTGCTATAGCTAAAGTCTTTTGTAAGTAATTTGTAGATAAACATAGCTTTAAGTAAGATACGAGCTCATTGTATAGTTAAGTGTGTGTCTTGTTCGTTTATTAAGCATATATATATATATATAATGCAATACATATTCTTTAAAAGGACATCTTAAGTTCGTCGAGTGAAAAATGTATTGCAATCAACAATATGATTTGAATAATGTTTAAATGATAAGTCTTAAAGTTCTTGAATTAAAGGGTTTTCGTAGGCTATTCATTCAGGATTACGTCAGGTTTTCTTATAAAACCATAAATTATTAGAATACTTGGGTGTTTGTTGTACTAAAAATTATTTAGTTTTAACAAGAATTTGGTTGGAATTATTTCAGCAAAAGGAAAGAAGCTCGATGCTACTCAGGAAATGGTTGCTTTAGGTAAGTCATCCAATCATATTCAATATCAAGTGGAAGATGTTGAATATAAAAGAAGGTTCTTGTTTTAGAATATGTTTGAATAGAAAGGAATGTTCTTGTCGTGAAACATGTTTGAATAGAAAGGAAGATTATTGTCTTGGAAGATGTTGAATAGAAAGGAATATTCTTGTCTTGGAACTTGTTTGAATAGAAAGGAATGTTCTTGTCTTGGAAGATGTTGAATAGAAAGGAATGTTCTTGTCGTGGAACATGTTGGAATAGAAATGAGCATTCTTGTCGTAGAACATGTTTGAATAGAAAGGAATGTTCTTGTCTTGGAAGTTGTTGAATAGAAAGGAATGTTCTTGTCTTGGAAGATGTTGAATAGAAAGGAATGTTCTTGTCGTGGAACATGTTGGAATATAAAGGAATATTCTTGTCTTGGAACTTGTTTGAATAGAAAGGAATGTTCTTGCCCTAAGACAAGAATACTCCTTTCTATTCAAACATATTCTAAGACAAGAACATTCCTTTCTATTCAAACATATTCTAAGACAAGAACATTCCTTTCTATTCAAACATATTCTAAGACAAGAACATTCCTTTCTATTCAAACATATTCTAAGACAAGAACACTCTAAACAATTTCCGTACTTTCCTGCTTTATTAAAACATGCCCATGCGGTAACATAGACCCGGTGCCAGAGGCTGCATCACAGGGGAATCGTGTTTTATTTTGGGGGTGCAGTTATGTAAATATCCAGATCCCTATAAAACTGTCATCATCTTTACAGATTACTATATACCCTATAATTGCATTACCCATATATATATATATATATATATTCAATTTGCACACCGCAACTACTTACTGAACATTTGATGATTCTCTCCGTGGAAATAAGTCCTATAAAGGGTTAACGGTTACTACGGGTAGATATTCTAGGTATCGCAAATAAAGTCACAACAGCGTCACTAAGTTACAATTAGGATTTGTATTTAGAGATATTGGAAATTCCGGTTACAAGATTGTTTGTTTGTAATTAAGCACAAAGCTACACAATGGGCTATCTGTGCTCTGCCCACCACTGGTATCAAAACCCGGATTCTAACTTGTAAGCCCTCAGACATACCGCTTTGCCACTGGGTGGCCGGTTACAAGAGCTTTTGGGATATGAAGATACCGGTTAACAAAGCTTTTATTGTATGAAATTTTGGTGGGAGAGAAATAAATAAGTTGGGAACATTATGAAAGCGAGGAATAATAAGTGGGTGTGAAACGTATGATGAGGAGTGACAATAGTTTAAGTGTGAAAGATTGGATGTGGAGAAAGTGACAACATTAATGTATAAAAACAGGCGAGATCTGATATCATTTAGTGACAGGTGAATGTTAAACATTGTGATAAGAAAGCGACAGTAGCTTGAGTGTGATACAATGTAATCATGATTGGAGGTGGAATATTATTATACGTTAATATATTATTAGAATACATTATTATACGAATATGATAGTGTGTAATACGGAGTGACAATAAGTTAGTGTGAAAGGTTGCACTGAGAACTTATTATCGAAAAGTGTGAAATGTTTTGATGTGACAACAGTAGATGAATGTAAAATTTTGGGATGAGAAGTTATCTCGCAAACTGTTTTTCACATTATGCAGTGTGATGTGTACCCGAAAGCCATTGAATAAACTATGGAGTAATGATACTATAGAAAGTTGAACAATGGCATACTGCCCTTTAAAATTATAAGTAATGAAAACTGACACTAGACGGTGGCACTGAGATGTTTCTGCTAGTTTGTGATATAAACAGGATATATATATATGCTTATTAATTGCGACATTTCTCAAGTATCGTTAGGTTTTATGACATCCTTTTACTGTATCTTAAAATAAGTGTATTTGAGAAGACAAACACGATGAAATGACATTATGTTATTTTGATAGTATATTATTTTTGAGTGTGTACAACTCCGTGATAGAATTACACGTGTGCTAAACTTTAAATTGAGCAGTATCTAAGACAAATATATCGTTACAACTTTATTTCAGCTAGAAATGCATTGTTGGTTTTTGTCACCGCTTCTGTTGCCGCCATTTTGATATTATATGACGCCAATCCATTTACTTTAACTAAAGAGGTTCCGTCAGGACTGCCAACGTTTTCTTTTCCAGTATTCACATATGACCATTTTGAAAATCTCACCAACACATCAGTTCATAAGGGATTCATCGAAGTAACCAAGGTAAGATGTGCGTACTCCTGATAAACTAAAAAAACAACAACAAAAGAACGAGAGTTTATTGGTGTGTTCTTGTTACAAAGTTTACCAAGATAAGGAATAGAAGGGTGGTCACCACTAAATACTGTGGTAATTTTATTTTTTTGATCTTCTGCGAAAGGAATGAACTGAACCCCATAAGTGATTGGTTTAAAAGGTTAACTCACTAGTACTTCCTAGTAAGACACTTTATAACAGCTCATAATACCACATTGTTTCTCTTCTTCTTCTTCACAACCAAGGACTGGCCTCGAGTTGTATTTCAGGATGTATGGACAACCACTAATTAGGCGCCATTGTTTCTTTGATAGTCTCACATCCTCTCCTCCTCTTGATTGGAATCAAACACAAGACTTCCTGCACGCTACTCAAGCGCTCTATTAAATGAGTTACAAGGTTAATCCAGTTGTAACTGCTAGTAAGACACTTTTTAATAAGTTTAGCTACCACCGTATTAAGGTAAAGTATAATGAATGTGTGTTTTATGTAAAAATAATTGAGAACAAAAGACTCCAATGATAAAACAGAATATATGTACGTAATATAGAATCTCCGTGATAAATCTGTTAGATATGTAACAGTTACAAAATTTAACAGTATAAGACTAAAATAAGATATTATAAAGGTGCTAGAAAAAGAGCACAATATATATATCGTCAATGGAGCCAAAATAGTAACAAATACTAACCCTATTAAATACGGAACATATTTGATCCCAGGTGAAAAGATCACGAAAAATAACTAGAGGATTTGTTTTGTCAATTTTATCAAATTTAAAACTCGAAAGTTTCGTTAACAGAGAGGGAACGCAACTGATGAAACAATGCATTATAATCTTTATAATTATATACGTAAGAAAAGTGTATTTAAACATTTATTCTGATGGTCAGGTTATTTTAGTTTCTCAGTAGCTTACTCTGACTATTAGTTATTATTATTTTATATACGGACATGTTACCTAGATGGCGGATGTTTGATGTCAAAAATAAGAAAAGGGTATAGTGGATAGAACCACACAAGGTGAGATATATGTTTGATATTGTTTAAACATCATCAAGGTAAGTGATGAATGATAAGGTTAACCATATAAAAATAAATAACATGAAGCTCAGTTTATCACTCGATCTACTCCTTGCCACTGAGTTATACCGGTTTAGGGGTTTCCTTCTCTCCTTAGTAACCCTTGATAAGGCTGCCATTGAGTTATACAGGTTTAGGGGTTCCCTTCCCTTCTTAGTAACCCTTGATAAAGCTGCCTCTGAGTTATACCAGTTTAGGGTTTTCCTTCCCTCCTTCGTAACCCTTGATAAGGCTGCCATTGAGTTATAGCGGTGTAGGGGTTTCCTTCCCTCCTTCGTAACCGTTGGTTAGTCTGCCACTTAGTTATACCGGTTTAGGGGTTTCTTTCTCTCCTTAGTAACCCTTGAAAAGGCTGCCACTGAGTTATACTGGTTTAGGGGTTTCCTCTCCTTAGTAACCCTTTGATAAGGCAAATCGAGGACACAAGACTAGGCTTCTTGCAGAGGTGAGCTGTATGTGTTTCTGCTTTTCTAAAGTCACAACAACGTCACTAAGTTACAATTAGGATTTGTATTTAGAGATATTGTAAATTCCGGTTACAAGAGCTTTTCGGATAGAACGTAAACAAAGTCACAACAACGTCACTAAGTTACAATTAGGATTTGTATTTAGAGATATTGTAAATTCCGGTTACAAGAGCTTTTCGGATAGAACGTAAACCCTTTACGTTCTTTCCCGCCGACTCCCCAGTCGCACAGCGGCATGTCTGCGGAATTTCAACGCTAGAAACCGAGTTTCGATACCCGTGGTGAGCAGAGTACAGATAACTCATTGTATAGCTTTGTGCTTAACTAAGAACTAACAATCAAACTTTCCCGCCGGCAAGCTTCAGTTCTTAGCAACCTTTACTGTGATTCACATTTGAAATGATGTACTCATAAATGGTTTTATAAGTTTAAGGTTTTTACAATATTTATTATTGTTTAAACCTGTTATTGTTATAGATGATGTAGAAATACTATACTTTAAATAATTAACAAGGTGTCATGATTTTCCTGTAAAATATCGTAAGAGAAACGCTTTCGTAACCGGAATTTTCGCCTATCCGGCAGTGTCCAGGTCTGTCAGATGCCTGATAATAAAACTTTTATTACACTTACTTATCGCGACTCCCCCCACACTAACTTATTCTTGTCATCTCCTCCATTACAGCGTTTTATACTAACCTGTAGCAATTGTCCACCACAAAGTTTCAACGACCTTTCGAGCAGTTGGTGATATTTTAGTCTCAGCTCTAAACTTCCTGTCTTTGTAATGCTGCGAGACAAAGGATGTGATATTAGAGATGGAATTGTGTACTTGAAAAACAAAACTATGTTAGCATGTACTATTAAAATACTAGAAACATATTATATAATATCATTCACATTTAATATCGTTATTATTTATCCCAAGCAAATAAATGTAATTAATTAAAAGATATTCAATTGCACGCATTTTCTATAAGGGAAATAGTTACATGGTTCCCTATTTACGAAGACGATTTGTTAAATACTACAGCTAATTTTTGTCATGAACACACACAATATTAGATAAAAAAAAAACATTATATACACTTCACCAATTAATTATTATTATTCTAAAAGAAAACATTGACGGTTTCAAAGTGGGCAAATACCAAATTATAGCTATAGAATAAGACAGTTTATCTAGTGAGTAATGACGACATACGTTATTACAGAATATATACACTATATTGCAAAAAGTATTTTAGGAACGCACACCTCAGTTAAAGAAGTTTAGAAATAGATTAACGTTCTACAGAATGGGGCTTATACAAGTTAGTAAACGTTAAAGACAATCAGCTGGAGTCAAGATACCACGAGTGAAAAAGTTCATGGAACTTCAAAAAGGAATAGATACTAGATGCTTTGTTAATAATATCAGTGTCCAAAATATTTCAACACATCTTATGACATCTAAATCTATCCTGAGTAATCTGTTGAAAGAATGAAACACCAACGGGTATGATAATGTGGATAAGAGCTAACTGCCTAATATTATTCATTTTCAAATTAATACAAGCTTTGAAACATGTTGTGAAATTCAATCACATATCTAACACTAAACGACTTAAATGAAATATCGGGATTGCAAACCAACACCCTTTGAACATATGGAGCTCCATGCTGCTCGAATTCACATACAAACTACAACCAATAAGCTACTCATCACAGCTGTGAATGTAAGGCATCGTTCCTTTTTTAGCGTTGAAACTGAAGTGAAAAACAAAGGAAAACCGCCATATTGAGTGATAAATTCTACAACTCGTTGACTGCCTTAGATGAATGGATCGAGAATTGATGGCTACATAGAGAAGAATTGGTGTCTATGATATATGGTATTCTGAATCCGTGGTATGGGCTATTTTTAGCTGGTTTCAATTTGATTACTTATTGCAGTAAATAACTTGTTAACGCCTTTGCATTCTTTTCTATTTTGAACTGCCTGCATTCACGTAATTCAATATGAAAGAATTATACCTCTTTTACCATGATAAGGCAACATGCCATGATGCATGCTCTTTAGGACAGCCAAGAGCCCGATCTGAATCTAACTGAACTATTCTAGGAAATTTTGAAATCTCGCTACAATTGGAGCTCTTTGCAAAAGTAACAGTGGTCTATTCCACCATCCGTGTATCAACAGTTTGTAGCATATGTTTGCAATGAAATCCAAGCTGCAGTGACCACTAAAAGTAGGTCCAAAAATTTTTAAATAGCACCATCTGCGGCAAAATACGGAAACTTCTAAAGGAATGTTTTCCATAATGTATAAAAAAGAGCGGAGGATGTACCTTTTGTCTCATTTTGATCAGATTTTTCAAACAAACCTAATAAATATGACGTTATGTCTGGTAAGCGTCTAAGTCTACCATTGTCTCTTCATTTCATACACACTGCATAAAAACAATGAAAGAATAATTGTAATTTGTAATTATAACTAAGATAATGCCAGTTTATGTGAAATCAGATCATGTACGTTATCTGAAATACAAAAGGATGGTCATCCAATTTATGGTATACATGTATATGTATATATAAAGACACGCACACACATTAGCCTTACCCAATATTGTCTCTTTTGTCACCTTGAAGTTAATCGCAGAGTTTAAAGTGGTCCAAGCTGCTCAGGAACTGTAATTAGGCCTCATAAAAGATATTTTCATTTTTTAAAGTATTTTAAAAGCCATCAGACGAATAAAGGCTGGCTAATTACGACAGACTGTTGAGAATTGAATACAAGTATCTTAGTGGCGTAGCTTCTTGGACACAAGAAGAAGGCAGACCATTATCCATAACACAAAGTGACTACTGTTATCTGTTGCTTCTGACTGACAGCAATCATAGAGAACGTTCTTCAAGACTGAATCAGATGTTCACAACGAGATGTTATGTTAGTGCTCAGACATCTAAAGGCTGGTCTATGTACAGATAACCAGTAAAGTGTATTCCTTTCAAGCCAAGGCACAAAATAAATTGCCTACAATAGTGCAAGGAACACGTTTAGTGGACCAACAACATACGGAGCAATATTGTTTACAGATGAATTATTCACTGTATAGTCAGATAACAGGCGTGTGCTCATTTAGAGAGAATCTGGAACCATTTCCAACTCCGTTTTCATTTGGCTGTGTTGGAAGAATGGTGTCAACAGGAATAAGCATTCGTGGATGTATCGATCTCTTATCCAGCAGAATAGTACTGTTGAGGTCACACATTATGAGTTCACAACTTACTAACTTTTGTGCTATCAGTTGATGCAACTGGTCCTAATTTCGACCTAATGGCTGATAACACCCGCCCCATGCCTTGCCAAATTGGTCAACGCGTTCCTTTAAGAAGGAGAGATTCGCCGAATTAAACTGACCTGCAGGCTCATTGGAATTCAGTCCCATCGAGCATGAATGGAATGCTCTTAGGAGGTGTGTCTTGCCCTATCAAGTGACTCTAGACACTAAAAATGCTCTGAGAATAGCCGCCTAACTTTCATAAAAACTAAAACAGTAAGCTGATTGTCATTATTTTATAACAAAGAATATGTCTTGTGATACGTTTAGTATTATGTAATCCAGTTATCCTTCAGTTGTTCTGTGCAGTATAGTGATGTGTGTGTTATTCGTGTCTGTTGAGTACAAAACTACAACAGTTAGATACTGATATATCAGAACCATAAACAACTATTTCTTGATTTGGTATGTTAAGTTTTATTTACATACACACACACACCAGCCAGGTTCGTCTAAATGTCTTATTAAATATAAGCAGCTTTTGGAAATCAACACATAATTATTCTATATACAATCGTTCTTTGTTTCTATCAAAATTATAAAATGTAATCTTAAAGTATCGTAATCAAATGGATGACATCATATAAGGTACCTTGAGTTTTTAGTCACGTGATACAATTGGTGTTTAGGCTACATAATGAACACTGAAACAACACAACTATAACTCAAATATATATAATGAACACTAAAACAACACAACTATAACTCAAATATATATAATGAACACTAAAACAACACAATTATAACTCAAATATGTATAATGAACACTAAAACAACACAACTATAACTCAAATATATATAATGAACACTAAAACAACACAACTATAACTCAAATATATATAATGAACACTAAAACAACACAACTATAAGTTAAATCTACATAATGAACACTGAAACAACACAGCTATAACTCAAATCTATATAATGAACATTGAAACAACACAACTAAAAGTTAAATTTACATAATGAACACTGAAATAATACAACTATAAGTTAATTCTAATAACTTTCAGAAAAAAAGACTTACCCTCATTAATATTAGAAGCGCCACACTTGCAATACCTAGTGCCATGTCACTCAGTCTGGAACACGATGAAAACATCACATATTGTGCAATGTTGTACATTTAAAATGGTTAATAACTAAAAAAATAATAATTTGAACCTAATTCGTATCTGTTTATTAATATTTTGTTCTTTATCCCGCCAGTGGATGTTCTTTACATAAAACAACTCATTATTAAGTTTTCTCGGTGAGTCTATATCATATGAATAACGTATTAAAGTTATTTTACATCGCACTCATTCCTGTTATTTATGTAAGTAATTCCATTCTTTTTTCATAAACTTCTGCTTTGGCTGTTTACAACATAAAGCTTCTCATTCTTCCATCGGCCCTCTAGTGGCACAGCGACATGTCTGCGGACTTACAACGCAACAACAAACAAGCAAATATTCTTCCATTTATATCTTACTTGTTGATAATTTTTCTGTTGTACACTCTCATTCTTTGTTTATACCACATTTGAAATATAATTTAAAGCAATTAATATCACCACTGAATTATCTAAAACAGAGTAAAGTATGTTAGTATTTAAGTGGAAAGCGTCATCATGAGTTTTTAAACTCTTTGAATCATGAGCAGGTTAGGATTTCTTAACGTAATAAACATATTGCTTCATGAAATATACAAGTTTTTAAAATCTTACTGGCCACTTTGCAAACTTCATGTGCTTATAAATTATATTCTCTATAAGTTTAATTTGTTTTGAATTTCGCACAAAGCTACACGAGGGCTATTTGCGCTAGTCGTTCCTAATTTAGCAGTGAATAACGAGAGAAGGAAGCTAGTTATCACCACACACTGCCAACTCTTAGGCTACTCTTTCTCCAACCAACAGTGGGATTAATCTTCATATTACTACGTTTCCATGCTGGAAGGATGAGCATGTTTGGTGGGACGGGAATTCGAACCTGCCACCCGCAGATTGCGAATTGAGCGCCCTAACCACCTAGCCATGCCAGACTTTCTCTACAAGAGATATAGAAATAACTACTACTTGTCTTGTAGGGGAATTACCTTCTGTTACATATATAATAACACACAGACGTCGTAGCGGAATTACCTTCTGTAACATATATAATAACACACAGACGTCGTAGAGGAAATACTTTCTGAAGAGAGAGGACATTGAAAAGTTAAGCTCTTATACTCAAATTATAGATTTCTCAAAGTTATTTAATATTATTATCATAATTTGTAGTGATTTGGGTTAAATAACACAATAATAACTAGATATAATAAGATTGGTAAATAAACATAAGACGGTCAAAGTTTTAAGTTAGAGTGTAGAGGTGTAAGTTATTACTACTACGTTAAAATAGGCTTAGTACGTGTAACTGTACTTTAGGTATATTTCAACTTATTGGTAAATTGTAAAACAGGATAAATACATTGTTTTATTAAATAAATAAATAGATCCAATAGTTTAAATTTAGCTTATAGATGTAAGTAGATTATAATATAAATCAGGCTAAATACATTTTATTATTAACGTTACGTATATTTTTCTAAAAATTAAGTTCTATATTATTAAAGATATACTATATTACTTTAGTGTGAAGACAAAGTAGTGATAGAAAAAATAATGTAATTGGTTCTTAAACGTTAGGCTTAACAGTAACAGTGTTACTGGTATTAGGTATTGAGTATTATTGTCACTTTCAGGCTATAACAGTAAAAATACAATGGTTAAGACTAGTGTAGGAGTTAAGAGTTCACAGTTTGTTAGGAGTAATGGGTGCAATGATGGGTTTTATTTGGGAACTCGGGACTGGAATGTACTTTTAAGAAAGCTGGTAATGAAAATGTGATATTTTTATGTAGAGTTTGTAGGTTGGGGGAGAAGTTAGAGGCAATCATGATTAAAGTAGAAGCAATAGATAAAGAGAAGTGTAGATTGTGGGAAATGGCAGCAGGATTACAGGAATAGCTAAGTTTTTACATGCATGGAATACATCAGCTAACAATGACTTTCAGGAAGCTAGAAAGAGTACTGTTTGGGCTAAAAGTGGTGAATTTAGTTATAATGAGCTTATTATGTTGAGCACCAAATTTCAACCCTTGGCTTCTGCAGATGAATAAATATTGGAGGGAAGAAAAACAAAAGGGTCAGAGAAGGATGTGGGTGATAAGAAGGTTATAGTTATAGGTGATTCCTCGATAAGGCATGAGGATAGAATAGTCTGTGGGATAAATAAGGAGAAAAGAATAAGATTATGCTACACAGGGGCACAGGTGGAGGATATAACTGACAAAACAGGAGATATAATCAAGGGGGGGCCTGCAAAGATGCAGTTTTTGTGGTGCATATAGATGCTAATGATGTAGGGAAAGGTAGGTCAGAGGAGCTAATGAATAAGTACAAGGGGTTGATAAAAGC